CTCATTATTTCACATCTATTGTTCTTCAAATAACCTTCACTGTATTTTTGTGAATCACTTGTTCTTCCTTTCTGTAGCACAACCCTGTGAATTCATTACATTCTGAGCCCATTTTCATTTTCCTCTTAGTTTTGGTGTCTCAAGCTAGTGTTTAAAGTAGTGATCATTTTTCATTACAAAGCAGTTAATCCATGACTTCTGCAATTCATGGAGCCTGGCTTCCTTCAGGTTGGTTCTATAGCTGATATGAGCTTTACTCTGAATGCCCTCTCTGTGGAGAACTTCAGCAGATCTTTCCAGTGTTGACTCTTTGGTGTCTAGTACACGTTTGCTGCAATCTTTCCCTCCAGTGAGGGCAAATACTGGAGTCTTCTGAAGAGAAGATGCTGGCAAAGGGTGAGATCCCCTGAGAATTCTGCTCTTGTCAACGCCTGCTCACACTGACCAGAGAGTCCAAAAGCTGTTCAAAGTAGGGGACATGCATATACATGCTTGGGATATTCTTACTAACAACCCATCTCAGAAAATGGAAATGCCATATAGGGATATAGCTTTTATGTTGGCCAGGAGTATATATGTAGTAATAATCATCATAAAGGAATCTTCATTCTTCATAGCATTTTATACCTTAATAATTGGAGTTCTGTGCAGAATCATAGGGTTGGTAACCTCCCTCCCTGGAGGCCTTTACAGCTTAAGAAGCAGTGATATTTTAAAAGCTATATATATGTAAATCAGGCAGAGCACAGGGTGATGAATAGATGTATTCTTTGTTTAAATAAGTGTCTCTGACTTAAGTTGTCTTCAGTCTTCATGTGCAGTTTTCTCTAATATAAATGGTTCTCTCTAAAGTTTTGCATTGTTGTAATGGAATTAAATAGTCCTTTTATGATAAAGTTAAACCAGTGCTTAGTTACCCTTCTGGTAACTGGCTAGTGACTGTTGAATAGAAGGGAAGGTTAGTTCACTTTTAGTCCAGTAGGGTTTTTTTAAGCAGAAATGTAATATCTAGGTGGTACTCCCTTGCTTGTACTAAAGGAGTAAGAATGTGTATGCTGTGTTTCCCCTCTAGTGTTTGGATAATTGTCAATAATACTTGTGGACAGAGTTGTTGAGCCATTTCAAATTGTTTTTCAGTACAATTGCGGAAGTCTAACTGAAATGAAAGAATTACACAGAATCACCTAGGTTGGAAAGGACCCTGGAGATCATCTAGTCCAAGTGTTCTCCTAGCACAGTTCCCACCTACAGCATATCCTTAAGCTGCAAATCGACCCTACTCTTGAACACCTCCAGGGATGGGGACTCCACCACCTCCCTGGGCAGCCCATTCCAACACCCAACAACCCGTTCTATAAAGAAATGCTTCCTAATACCTAGTCTAAACTTTCCCTAGCACAACTTGAGGCCATTCAAAGTTTGATGTTAATGAGTCTTTCTACCCAATGTCAGGTATTCTGCATTTGTAAGCAAGTTAAGGCAAGGTAATCTATGCAAAACTATCTTGGTGGTGATGCACAGGAGACTGGAAAGTGCTTAGAGTTATGCCTTGCTAACAATAGAGAAGTAGCCCTGTGCAGTGCAGGGTTCTCTTACACTTCTTCAGTACTGAAAGGATTGCAGTTGCTTTTACAATGTGAAAACTGAAGTTGTGAAATGAAGGAGGACTTTAGTGTTGCAAAAGATGCTAATTAAAGACTTGAGAATTGCTTTTTAATTTATATACAAGTCAGAAAATGTTTGCCGTGATGCTGAATGCTATGTTCAGTTGGAGGGGGAGTGTGCATCAACGGATTTCTTGCTTCAGCTTTTTCTCCACCTGCAAAACTGGTGGCAATGTTTCCCTAAAATTACGTATTTACATTCACTCAAGTTTATATGTAAACAAATTTATATAAGAGACTCTTCTTGTAACAGCATATTAAATCATAATGCTGTTTTGGGAACTGAGGCAATGTATCTGTATGGTCTACAGCCTATGTAATTTAGAATTGCAGAATACCTTCAGAAAACTGTTCAGGATTGGGGTCTTAATGGGGAATTTCTAACTTGAACATGAGATACTACTTAAAACTGACCATGCTGCTAACTGGTTCCCATCCATACAAGATGTGGAAGACAAGTAGTTCTCCAGCACTGGCCTATGTAGAAGAGCTGTGTTTGTTTTGGTAAAGCTAAATAATCCTGATACTCCTTACTTCTATTGCCTTAGTCTTGGCTAATGAAATACACCATGGAGGAGAAGCATCAAGAGTAGGCACCACCAAAAAAAAGGAAGATAGGAAAGCATGGTCAGATTAAAAAAAACCTTGGGTGACATAAGCATGTATGGGGTTTTTTTAAGGTTTATTACTTAATTGTATCTTGGTATTTTTCTTCTATCTGAACGATTAAGACTTCTTATTAAATGTGAAAGCTGTTTCTTTCCCTACAAATAGATTTTTTTCAATTATTTTTTTAATATTGTTCTCTTTCTATCTAGTTAACAGAGAAGAAAATCCTATTTATTGGTGCAGTTTAAATGTGATTGTTAGTTCTGAAAGAAACTCTTTTAATAAAAAATGTTCTCCTCTGTTTTCTGGATACATAACCATCTATTTAATAGAGACGGCTGCCAAGCTTTGACTTTTTGGCAACTGAAAATCTAATTAGCATTTCTGTACCAAATAAAACCTTTTTTATCTCTAAATTTGCAAAAGGAATGTAGGCCTTCTCTTTTTATTTAAGAGAATTTTGTCTGTCTCTGCAGCAACTACAATCTTTTTGCTCGTAGCTGAGGGTTGCTATACTAACACCATAGTTGGGATTCTCTCACCAGCTCATTGACTTTGCACAAATGCTGCTCTTAAGGTTCTTTAAAAAATAACTTTTTTTGTGATTAAGCTTAAGCTATAAAACCCAAACAAATTAGATGGAACCAGTGATTTATTGTCTGCCTAGCATATCCAGTCTTTTTTAATATAGAAGAAAATGCTTTTATTTTAATTTGGTGTAAAAGCAAATGCTGTTCATTAAGAGGGCACTTAGCTCAAACTTGAGGAGATGTATGGAGATGTTATTAGTTTTAACTCAGATACAATCATCTTCCCATTCAGCAGCTATGTGGAAAAATATGCAAGCAAGATAATGAATGTGGTTGCATTACATGTCAAATTACTTATACAGATGAGTTACATAGGCAAGAGGTTGGGTTTTTTGTGGTCACCTTATCAGCAAAGGGGAATAATGCAGTTCTTTTTTCCACTTGAGACTATCATCAGAAAAGCTTTGGAATACCAAAATTTTTGAGTAATACTCATATGTGCTTGTAGGAAAAATTAATAAATAGATTAATTCCTGTTGTGGAATAGTTTGGCATCCTTTCATTCTATTTGCCAACACATTGATAAATTATTTTTTTTATCCTTAAGGGGATAGGAGGAGTCAGTGCCAGTCCAATCTTAATTTTGTTCTATAAACTTGTAGCAGCTGTGACTTCAGTCTGACTTACCTGGATTTGATAGCAATAGAGCTATATGACACCCTTTATTCTTTTGATGGTATAATGGTTTTGTTGCTGTGGTCATACAGTCTATAAAATGTAGTTGCCTGTCAACTATCCTTAATGTTTTGGTTTTTAAACTCACATTCAAGTCATAAGAGAAAGCTTTATTAAAAGCTACAACTTGTGCTGCATGTGGCCTGTTTATAGTTTTGTAAATAACCATTCTGGGAAACCTGACATTATCGGGCTCATTTTTCCAATAGTATTAGACTTCTGTTATAAGGAAAAACTGACTAATGAAATGCAAGATGCGAATGTGATATGCCTGCTGCTACTTCTATTTTTTTATCTTTGTCTCAGGGAGATATAAATTCTAAGACTAAGTATATTCAGCTGTTCTAACAGCTGAACATGCCATCGATTTCTCAGTGTTGCTTTGCTCACTAGAGCTACTGTAATATTTGTGATATTCAGCATTTCAATTGTATAATTTTCAGCATTTTTCTGTGAAGTCTACAGAACTTGTTCAAAGTGAGAGTGCATATTAATCTTAATACCTTAGTACTGGGTTTGTGTTTGTGTATTGAATATGGTTTCCCACAGTGTATTTTTTTCAGTAAAGTATGAACTGTCACAGCATGATATATTTATGCAGCTCCAAAATAACTTCTGGCAGTGCCAATTCAGAATAGATCCAGTTCATAGTGTTTGGGAACATCTACACAAGTCTCTTTTTCACCAGAAATATATGAAAAAAGAAATTCTTTGATACCCTAGTAGATCTTAAATTGTTTTCACTCGTGTTTGCCTTGATTGGTATGAATGTGTAAAGCTGCTGGTAATTAAGTAGCACAGGCACATTACAGTTTTGCCCCCGGCAAATTTGATAGTAGATTGCTGCATTTTCTTCTAAAACATCTACTTGTGATAAGCACTTGAAGAATCTTGTGGCTCACCTTTTGCCTAATTGCTTTTTAATATAGTAAGTTTGTTTTACAACCTCAGTATTGGATGTTGTAGACAGGTGAGAGAAAATATATTAGAGAGTTCAGACCATGTAGGACTTTGAGTAAAACTCAATATACAGATGGCCAGGTAAAGTAGATTTAGATTTTCCTCTGTTCTGTAGTTCTTGCTCACTTTAGCAAATGTTATGACGTTGTTATGGTTTAGTTGACATGACTTTGAGGAAATCAGGTACTCCTAGAAGTGTGAACTGCACTGAAGTGATCGTGAGATCTGGTCACTTGCTGTGCAAAGCTTCTAAGTTTCTTTTTTTTCTAGTTCTGTTGTATATGTAGTCTCAGAAAAATACTCTATCTCACTACCAGAATATGTCAGAGCACGGAAATGCAGTATTTTAAATGCACTGTAATTTTTTGTAAAGAACTAACCTAAAAATCAGAGGTATCTAGAACAAAGCCTTTTTTCCCCTCTGTATTTCAGTACTGTAGAAGAGTGGATTGCTCTGTAAAGTACGATTTAATATGACCTGCTTTCCTTTTTGTTTTTTAAGGACTTGGTAAATATTGAGATGTTTTTGACTGCTAAAGAAGTGGAAGAATCATTGGAAAGACAAGAAACTATGACTTGCTTGGCTTGGTGTCATGATAACAAATCCAGGCTCAGAAAAATGAAGGTATGAAAATGTAATGTGTTCGTGTTTTGCTTAAATTCTGGTTTTCTAAACTACTTTGATACTTGACGTGGTCAATGTATTTTGAATTACAGGTATTTAAATGAGGCCTTCTATAAAAGTAAGGGCAGGAAGGTACAAAACTCTTCTTTTAAGAAGGCGTAGGTAGTTGAAGCTAAACTACCTCATGCAAATGGCAAACCTGAAACTGGGTGATAGGCCTTTTTATGGATGCGAGTTTTGCCTCAACAAATTATGCTTAAATAATCTTCAGTTGGTTTTAATGTGATTTGCAAATGTCTGAATGCAGAAGTATGTAGTGTCTTGATGCATGTGAACTTACATTTATAACTCTTTGCAGCCTGCTGAAAATATAACTGTTTTATATATGACGATGTCTTAAGAGTGAGATTAGTTGGTAAACCGATGTCCTCAGGCCTAACGCTGGAAGATCTCTCATACAGATTTTTGTCTTAGTATTTTTTAAGTGTTGTGTGTAAGACAATAGAACTTGAGTAAAGAACTAACTCTCTGTGAGGAACTACTGTTGAAATGGTTTTTTTCAAAAACAAAAGCAGAGTCTAATCAAGTAATAAACACAGTAAGTCTTTCTCTAGCCACTGAAGACCATAACTTGAACACGCTGTATGCTTTTTCGATTGCAGTTGGTTTGGATTTCCTTGTCTCTTAAATCCTGCATTTCAAAACATGCTGTGATCTTTTATAGGGCTTGCAGAAATCTGTTTTTAACTGATATTAACCAAAATCCCTGCCTCCCTCAAAGATGTTTGTGTCTTACTTTTTTAAACTAAGCGCTTTCTTTAACCAAAAATGTTTGAGTGCACTTAGTGATAAGCGAAGAGTGACGTTCTCTGTCACTCAGGGGCGCCAAAATGAGATTGAACCGAAGATGGGACGCAAAAGTAAATCGGCCAGTGATTACTCTAAAGAAAATGATGATCTTGTTATGGAAACCATTAAAGGAAAACCAGAATTGGTATGTAAACACTATTGCATAATTATACTACTAAAATATCCCCCTTGTGTAATCCTATTATGTTAAGTAATATAAGAAATAAAATCTGAACATCTTACTCTTTCATCACCAATCTTCAACAAACAATAAATAAGGAAAAATCTTCCCCATCCCTCTTTTTGGAAAACAACAACAACAAAAAAAATCTATTTCTGCAAGCCCTCTTTTTTTTTTTTTTTTTCTTAAAAACAAACGAAAACCAAAGCCTAAGGCTGTGAGAGATCAAAGTTGAAAGAAGATAAATCACTATGCTTCTTTTTGAAACACAAATAAACATTTATTTTTCTGGTTGGTTAGCTGCTCATCAAGTTTAATGTTAATCCCAGCCACCACCTTAATGCAAGCCTAATCTAAAAATTCAACTATGTTGGCCTGGAAAAGAACGCAGTCCTATAGTCTTTACAGATGTGAGCTATCTAAACTCTTACAAATAGCTGCTGTGGAACTGTTTGAAGATACCCAAAGCTGAAATGTATGCATCATCTGATTATCTAGGACTTCTTTCTACTAGTTAAAATTGTCTGCGGAATCCATACAGCCATTGGCTTGCAGCTTACTTGAGGATCCATAAAAACAGAACATGAATTCTGAATGTTGTTTTGGGATGTTGGTTTTCTGTTGTTGAAACATTTTAATGAAATACCAAGCCCTCCATATTTAGCATCATTAACAATTGTAAAGTTTGATCAGTTTTTTAGTAGAAACAAATTTAGCTAAAATTCTAAATGAGAGCTTTGTGTAGATGTGAGTAACAGGGTATTTTAAAGTAATCCTATTTGAACATTTCAAATAAAGTAGAGGAAAAAAACTTTATTCTCTGCTAAACGTGGGCTTGAGTACAGAAAATTGCATAGCTGGAAAATAATTTATTTTCTATCCCTTAAGTATATTTTAACATGTGACATAATGTATTGTTTTCAATGTTTGATTGGCTTACATTTCAAGTCTTAAGATAACCAATTGTTGCAATGTGTGCGTTAGTCACCCCATGCAGTTAAATGATACAAATTTGGAGTTGCTCAAATCCCTGCTGAAGTCACTAAGGAATTTTGATATTACTGTACTGATGGACAATAAACAAAAGGCAACTATTCATTAGAAGCATGGGGGAAGAAAAAAAAAACATTTGTCAAATGGAGCAGGGTAACTCAAGGAATACAGCTCTTTTCAAGATTCAGAGGACTTTGGGGTTTTGTTGTTTTCTTAAAGTAATAAAACAGTTGACTGTGTCCCTATAAAGAAGCATAGTGACTTGTTCTTTTAATGGGGGGAGAGTCTTTTTCTTTTTAATTCCACATATTCAAAGTTTTCTTATAGATTTTGTGAACTGGTGATGGAATTTGATTTAAAGGGACACTGTCAACTTCATTAGGCTTCAAATTTTACCTTTTTCCAAAAACAGGTAAATGTCACTTGGTTTTCTTGTTTGAGACTTGTTTCCAGCATGGCTTTTAGATGTTTGACAAGAAGAGCGGGATAGAAGTTTGAAGGGAGGGAGGGAGGGGATTGCATCAACTTAAACACTGTGCTGGTTTTTGTTAATATTGGGGACTTCCAAAACGGTATTCAAAGACTTGGTTTTTCCTTGCAGTCTTCTGGGTAGACCTCTCTTGTCTAAGTTATCATGTAGCCCCAAATTTCTGTGGAATCTACTACTTTAAATTGTAAGAAAGTACAAAGAAACCACCTGTTACTCTCACTTGCATCTCAGGTAATGATGCTTTCAGTCATTAGGAAAAAGTTCATCCCTGCTAAATACTGAAGTTCTGAAGGAGGCAAGAGGAGGAGGTTTTTGTTTGCTTTTAGGGAATTCTGACCTGATGTTTTGTCCTTTATGTAAAATCAAAATTTCAACTTTTTTTGCATGAATGCCTAAAAGCAAGCAAACAAGGTTGCATGTTATTAACACTTTCTTTTTTGTTGTGCACATATAGTACTTAACATACTGTGCAGTGCAGTGTTAGCACCTTCTAAGACCCTGTCTTGTCTTTAATCTCAGAGCTGTCTGGAGTTCAGCCTAAGGATTCAGGAGTTCATTGAACTCATTCGACAGAACAAGAGACTGGATGCTGTGAGGTATGAAATTAGGATGCTTACTAAACAATTTTCTTAAGATGGTATTATGCTTCATTAGAGACATATGACTATTATTGCAACACCCAGAAGCCCCACTACTTTAAAGGATCTTGCTGGTGTGAACAGTCTTGTATTTAAGATGGGGTTGATTTTTTTTTAAAGTAAGATGTCATTCATTTATGCATCCTTTTAAAAACTTGTTGTTGCAACTCTGCATCTTCTCTATACCTTGATTTTGAAGATTAAGAATTAATCTGTTCTATAAAACAATTTTATTTTCTGGTGGCATACAATGTAATGAACAATTTACCCTTAACTAATTGTCAAGAGGTACAGCTAGCTTCTCATAGGAACCCACTGCAGCTTTAATCACAAAAAATACTAAAAGGTTAATAAAATATGCATCTAACATTTCAGTTTTGAATGAATTCTGCTTTACTATGTTGATCAAACATTTTGTTCGGCAAGTTATGCTTTAGAGCAGGCTCACCTTTTGTGTTGAACGTATAATTTGGAGTTCTGTTATCGTGTGTGAGAATGACGAGTTATGTTACTCCCATTCCCTTCCCCTGGCTCCAAATAAGAAACCAACTCAATATCCATTTTCACCTGGTTTGAACTAGTTCAGTGGGGACTACTTTGAGAAGAAAGTAATACTGCCCAAGGTGGTGTGAATCAGTAACAGAACTAGAGTCAGACCTAATTGTTGCCTGACTTCAACCATGAGACAGTCTGTCTGGCAATACTTACAATGCACATAAAGCAATTATGCTTTTTACTTAGTGGTCCTGATTTAAGGTGTTGGAATAATGTTCCAGGATAACACAGGAAACCAGTTCTGCTGAAATGAGTGGAATTTTGATACTGGGACTATAAAATGTGTTGAGAAATTTGATAAGCAGTGATCTTGTCATCATCACAAAGTATGATGCAGGTGGCAAAGCTACTGGAACTTACACATGAACAAGGGAAAGAGGAACTCACAGCAGTTCTGTTTCATAGAGATGACAAGTTGTATAGCCAGACTTGAAGCCTTGCTAATACATTCTGGTGATAACACTGTTGCTGTTAAGCATTTCTGACAAGTTTTATTTTAAGGAAGTTGCAAGTCTTACTACTGCCTTTAAAACCAGAAATTGAAAACAGCAGGAGGCTTGTATTTGTGGCAGAGCTGTGTTTTGGTCAAAGGAGCAGAGCTATAGAAACCATATGAAGTATCATAGTACAGACTGAAGCATTCTAGTGCATTCACAAGTTTTAGATACTAAAAACTCTTCTGCAGGGCAAACCACATAACTTTTCTTGAGTAGAATGGATAAGAAAGAGGTTGTTTTAAAAACAAGAATAAAGGAATAAGTAGTGCAAGTATGTGGGAAGGCCAGTATAATACTAACAACACCCCCAGAGCTACCTTAAGTTTTAGAGTTATTTCCAGTTGCCATTTCTAACTTTTTCAAATGTGTTGCTTCTTTGATCTAATCATATCATTTCTACTTTGCCCTAGTTGGTGTTAAATCTCACTGTTTTGGCCCTATCCAGTGCTCATGTGCACTCTCCTAAACTCCAGCTAATATTGGTGTTAATGATTTTTAAAAAGTAAAAAAAAAAAAAAACCAAAACCACAGAACCTACATGCTGTCACTTAGATATGTGCTCTTACCCTTTGATAGAATTGTCAAATCCAAAGGAATTGTCAGATATTTATGAAAAGGATGAAAGACACTCAACATTACCTGTCTTCTGAAGCCCATGGTGCTCTTTACGTCCAACCAATACTTTGCCTTTGTATCTTTAGCTTTATTCTCTAAGTCTGCTGCTTTGCCAAATGTGCAGTCATGCATCTTAACAATGAGTAGCCCATGCTCTAAAAACTATTTTATTGGAGCTGCAGCTTCCTTATGTAGCTTCAAAACCAGAGGGCAGGCATAGAGCTGAAATGAGGAGATAGGACGAGAACTGTAGCAAAGTAGATAAGGTCATTCTGTATTTTACTGTTGTTACTCGATATTTGTTTCCCTTTGATCCCTTTTCCATATCAGAAATGGTAAAATTTACAGGCTGTCAATTCTCAAGAGAACTCAGCACTCTGGGCATGGAATAACTTGTACGGCCATAGTCCCTGAGGTTTAAAACTTAGAGCTTCTATCTACACTGCAAATATGCATCCATATTAAATGTTAGGGGCGAAGCATGTATGTTCCATACATCTATTGAAATTCAGGGTTGACACATTTTACACTCAGCGATTATAACTTGCCAGTCATAACAGTGCTGCTTTAACTTCATGTCTTGTAAAATGAAAAGGAGCTGCAGAAGTCCTTCTCTGTCTTAACTCCTTTTTAACAGAGTGAGTGTACATTCAGAGTTAAACATCTCAATGCTTTCCTTAAATAATGTGGCTTTAAAATGTTAGTTTTTATCATTTCATTCTACTTTGCTTCAAAATAAATATGTAATGAATAAGGGAAGATATTTTGCGAAGGTGTAGCATAAATCTCATTGCTTCTAGCAAACTGTTGCAACTTGTGTTTTTATTAGCTTGCTTCTGTTAAGTGCCTGCAGCAGGATTCTTTCAGTATTGTGTCCGTGGTGCAATAAATAGGTCAGGCATCCATTAGAAAGCAGAGAAAGGCTGTTTACCAAGTAGTTTCCTGTATGAGTGGAACTCGGAGAACTGACATTTTGTTGAAACGCAGCTGGTGTTTAAATAAGTTTGAAAGCTTTGCTTACAGCCTGCTGAGAACCTCTAAAGTGACATATTGCTTTTAGGTTAAGATTGATGTGAGCTTTAAAATTATACATCTTATTTTAATAAGTGTTTGAATTTCTGTAGCTTTTTAGAGTATTAGTCCAAACAGGCTTTCCTCTAAGGTAGCTTATCAGAGTAGTCTTGAAAGTGTGAATTTTAAGACTACGAAAACTATTTCTTGAATACAAGAATAAATATCTTAAGTACATCACACAAAGTTTTTTTTTTGCCTAGTATCATTAGCTTTTAACTCCCACAGTCTCTTTGGTTTGGGTTTTTTTAAACTTATACCTGTTACAGTACAATGAACAAATGATTACACTAATTTCACACTTCTGGGGCTCTCACTTATTTTATTCTGGAAAATCTGACAGCCTTCTACTACTTTGCTCTTATGAAATGCTAGAAATAGAGTTCTTCGCTAAAAGCTTAACAAATCACCCTGTGCACTTCTTATTCTTGAGATACAAAGGACAAAAAGAATAAGTAAAAATAGATAATGATGCACAGACTTAAGAGAAAATGACCACAGTCTATTCATTTTTGTAAACTCCTACAAGGATGAATAAACACTTTGTTCCTTTTTTTTTTTTTGTTATGGTGGGGGTGGGGTTGAGCAGATGTATAAAAATAATAACCTTTTTGAGGTTTTGAGTATAAGTTTTGCTAGCAGTCATGGTCTCTGAGATAAAGGTATCCAGGTACTGGTTAGAAAGTCCTTTCATGCTAATATGTTATGTTTGTGTTAATTGCTACTTCCTGATTAAGTATGTTCACTCTTATATTCAGGCATACGTAGATATACACATACACACTGTGTAGCTTATACTTCAACAACTTAATGTAGCCTTAGCAGACAGTAAACTTTAAAACTTCATGTCTTTCATAAATATCCTTTTATTCTTCGATTTGTCAAGAACAGTATGTCTGCTGTACCTGCTTGGGCTAGAGGAACAGCCATTTCAAACAGAAGATGGACTTCGTGCCCACAGAGTTTACAGAATTGTTTTGGAATTTGAAAAAACAAATTTTCTACCTATTACTTTGATATGTCACAAGCATTTAGTTAGTGGTTTCAGTGATGCTCTAGTGGCCATAATTAAAACTTATTTTAAAAAAAAACTATAGCCTCCTGCTCTAGCTGTACTGACTAGTGTGTGCTAGTGGTGGTAAATAAACATTGTAAAGTTCATATATACTTCCAAGAGTGTAACATTTGCACAGAGATGGAAATAGCTGAATGAAAAGGCAGGGGGTGAATAATGGCACGAGGGCAAATAAGGTGTTATTTAAATGTTTTGCATTCATGAGTACTCACATAGTATTGTTTCTTGCTTTGCAATCTATAAAAAGACTTCAGAGTGTTATGAATTAATTGAACTTGCTTCTCTTTTAAAGGATATCTTGCTTAATTTTAATTTCTCTGTGTTTTGCACTCAGATGATGAGTTCAGACATTCGCATGGCAGGCTTTGTGCGAAAACTTCCTTGTGTCATTAAGGGACACGGGTAGAAGGGAAAGTCAGGAGGTGAAGACCAACAGAAGGTCACTTAAAACCTGATTCCTTCTGGCTGAACCCAAAATGGCCATCACATGCCAGTATGTTCAGTACTTTGTGAATGATGGAAATGTTGGATTGCTGAGCACTTCTTTGCATGCTAACACATGCAATAGTGATTATATATTTTACGTAAAACAAACAATGCTAGCTCTTCTTGAACACATACAGTAAGTGCGGCCAGTATTTGCTGTTGTAGCTCAGGGCCTTCCTCTCAGGGAGATTTACTGTTGAAATGCTGTAAGAGCAAATTTTCAAGGCCTGACAGGGGGAGTAGGACCACGGTACTAACAATGCTGGTGCAAAACTGAAGTACCATTTCTGTCTTACAGGTTGGTTTGGTTTGGAAGGGACCTTAAAGATCCCCTAGTTCCAACCCCCTGCCATAGGCAGGGACACCTTCCACTAGACCAGGTTGGGCAAAGCCCTGTCCAACCTGGCCTTGAACCCTTCCAGGGAGGGGGCAGCCACAACGTCTCTGGGTGACCTGTGCCAGGGCCTCACCACCCTCACAGTGAAGAATTTCTTCCTTAAATCTAATTTAAATCTACCCTCTTTCAGTTTAAAGCCTTTAGCCCTTGCCCTATCACTACATGCCCTTGTAAAAAGTCTGTCTTCGTTTTTCTTGTAGCCCCCTTTAAGTACTGGAAGGATGCTATAAGGTCTCCCTGGAGCCTTCTCTTCTCAGGCTGAACACCCCCAACTCTCTCAGCCTGTCCTCGCAGGGGAGGGGCTCCAGCCCCTGATCATCTTTGTGGCTTCTTCTGGACCTGTTGGAGCAGGTCTGTGTCCTTCTGATGTTGGTGCCCCCAGAGCTGGACACATCACTGGGAGGATGGGGGGTGATCTCATGAGAGCAGAGCACAGTGGGAGAATCCCCTCCCTCAACTTGCTGGCCACACTTCTCATGATGCAGCCCAGGATATGGCTGGCATTCTGGGCTGTGAGTGCATGTTGCCAGGTTGTGTTGAGCTTCTTATCAACCAACACCCATGACTCCTTCTCCTCAGGGCTGCTCTCAATCCATACGCTGCACATCCTGTATTTGTGCTTGGGATTGCCCTGACCCATGTGCAGGACCTTGCACTTGGCCTTGTTGAACTCCATGAGGTTTGCACAGTCCCGCCTCTCCAGCCTGTCCAGGTCCCTCTGGACAGCACATCCCTTGCCCCCAGTGTGTCAACCACACCACACAGCTTGGGGTCATCGACAAACTCACTGGGAGTGCCTCGATCCCACTGTCCATGTCACCAACAAAGATGATAAACAGCACCAGGCCCAACACTGACACCTGAAGAACACCACTTGTCACAGAGCACAAGTGCATAGTGGTCAGTTCTTTTAACATGATTTTTCTTCTCTCTCATGTGTGCACATGCAATAGTTTAGCTTAACTGATAGGTCTGAATTTTTTGCTTTACCTAAGCTTTCTTTTACATCACTTTCATCTGTAGCTCTGTGCTAGGATTTAGTTTAGCTTTTCTCCCCGATGTCCAGGCTGCCTAGTCTTTTCTCTCAGGCCATGGGGTTTGTACTTCTGCTCTTACAACAGTAATCACCTGGAGAACAATATTTACATTCCTGAATTGCTCACCCAAAATAGGAAGTTGGGTGGAAACAGTCTGTCCTACATAACTTCCATTGCTTCCTGGTTTGGGTGGGAGAGGAAGTAGGAGTACTGAAACACTGCTGAAGAGACTGTTCTCATAGTATTGATGACCTAAGTGGAGTTAGTGGAACACAGAATTGGGAGGGGAACCCTAAAAAAAAGCATTATCTAGATTATTTTTTTAATTCAATCCATGAAATGGACAATTGGAAAATACTGTATATTCAAACAAGTAATTTGTAATTTTAAATAGATATTAACTAGACTCTTTAAAAGTTAAAAAGAGCAAACACCACAGAGATGACTTGGTATCTTCCCCGTAATACAAACTGTGGAGAAAATACAGCATAGGGAAGACTTTTCTACACTTAAGCAATGCCAGAAATTCAATTTAGTGCTGATTCCATAGTCAGTCTACTGTGCAACATCTGTGTACCACTGAAAACAGGCGCTTTTAGCAGCAATGCTGAACTAATCATGCAGTTTAGAGGCTGGAGGGCTTTCCTGCACACTTAAAACTCCAACTTGAAAATTGATGATCTTGGGAAGACTAGATAGGGGAGGCTTTCATAGAGGATTTTAAAGTAGTTGAATGTTCTTATAATCCGATAAGAATTCTCTGGCTTCTTAATATTAATTTCCTGAAAGATATTAAAGTTTGTGTTTTTGCTTTAAATAAATTTCTGTCACTTCTTTCAAATAATCCAAGTTTTCAGCCTCGTGTGTATCTCTTACAATCAGTATGTGTTAAAGTACAAAAACTTGTACTGAAGTTCTACTTGATTTTTTTTTATTTCCCTGGCAAAAAAATTTGCTCTTAACAAGGTGTTTTCTACTACATTACCCTGCAATTTATTGTAGTCTGCACAGAAACTGATACTGCCTTCTAGCCTATACCAAAAAAAATATTATTCATAAGTAAACATTATCTCAAATGTCAGTATAAACAAGGTAGATATTTGAACACTCTTGATGTTTAATGGTTTGGAATAGCCGATTATCAGACTGCATTTATCTCGCTTGCAAGTGTGTGCCAAAGGAGTGTGATACACTGAGCTTGCATAAACAGAGACATTTCTTCTAATAACTGTGGATCTGTCATTCTAGATGTAGGTGATGTAGGACTTCATGCTACAGTAAGAAGTTCTGGTTTCTAAGAAATTACAGTATAAAATTAGCAATTCTTGTATTTGCATTTGTAGGATGTTTTGTTTTTTTTTTTTTTTCAAGCCTTCTAAATCATCTTTTGGAGTTCATGTGTATTGAGAGCAGAATCCAGAGTTGTTCTCTGAAATCTTACATAATCACATAAATCTACTTGATTTAGAAACCAGGCTATCTAATAAAGATATAAATTCTGTATTTCAGACATGCAAGAAAGCATTTCAGTCAGGCTGAGGGAAGCCAGCTGGATGAGGTTCGACAAGTGATGGGAATGTTGGCCTTTCCTTCAGACACTCATATCTCCCCCTACAAGGTAATATTTTGTTTGAAATTCAGTGTTACAGCAGAATAGTAAAATACATGTTGCATTTTTTTCTTTACAGGAAAATGCATTGAGAATCTGAAGATCAAATGTGGTTCTAATTTTACTTTCTGAAATCCACATCTATAATAATCCTTAATTTTTAACCAGTCCTTGCCTGTGCATTAATCCAAGTAGTATTTGTATTGTTGCCATTAGTCTTAATAGCAGCAGACAGATTCACACTGAACTAGGCTTACCACGAACCCAGCACTAAAGACCAGTGGGACTGGAATCGTGATACACAAATATACAGCAAGAGACAGAAGACGAGGAAGTACAGATTAAAAAGTGAGGTAGTTTTGTTCAACGTACTAGGCTGTGGCCTTAATACACTATCAGTGGTTCTTAATTCTACTTCTCAAATTACTGTTCTTGTGGTGGTTGGAATGAAGAAATTAAAGATGATCTGAAAGCAGTACTTCTGATGCTTAAAAGTGTGTGCTTTGGTTTATTTAAATTAGTGTAGATATTAGTGGTAATATCTACACCTAAATTTGATTCAAGCAAATAGGTAGTTACTGCTGCTACAGATTTTGAGTTTGTTCTCTGGTCATGTGCTAATTCACTTTTTTTTAAAAAAAAAAAAAAAACTTATCTACCTTCTGCCTCCAGTGCCAGCTGGCAAAACAAAACAAGAATGCTGTGAAATGCCAAGCCAGTATGTGGCAATGCCAGTATAAACCTGTTTTTTTAAACAATTGATGATGAAATCAATGGTTTAATGGTACAAACACACAAAAAAACCAACAGCAATTCACAGAATTAGGGTGATTTTTTTTTTTTTTTTTGCTAATCAGAGTCTTAGAAGGATCCTGGTATTTTTGATTCTACATTTGATGTGAGTTATGAGCATAAATGATAGATGTGTTAGAAGACTGGGTGTAAGACAGATCTTTGTTTTAGTTTTTAAAAAGAAATAGGCAGGAAATAGAAATCCTGAGTTTTGTTCTAAGGACTAGTTTGGACAGAATGTTTCAGTGGAGAGCAAGGAGAAAAGCCAGTATTGTTTCATGTACAACCATATGGTTGGAACAACTTTCCTACTACTTTTTATTGATCTGACTTAAAACATTCTAGTTCATAGAAATTATGTTTTGGGTTCTCCAATAATTGCCTAAATAAACAGAATCATAGAGCATACACTTGTTTGGAGATATCTTTAATACATTGACTAGGAGTTCTTTTGTGTAAATGGCTTCAAATTATATCTGTGAGAAAGTTTGTCAGATATAATATCTCTAATCAATTCATCTTTATTAATCCAAGGGATGAAACATCTTCTGTAACAAATGAATAGAACTTTTTCCAGCTTGTCCTATTTTTTTAGGACTTCAGGGAATACGTTTTTAATGTTGTACAAAAGAAGCTGTTTTCTTTTGATATCCTTTGATCAGTTTGTGTAGCTGTGGCTGGAATTATTCCAGCTAGATATTTAGTAAGCTGCTGCTTTTGTGTCCCATCATCTAGGCTCTTAATCATAGGCTTTTCTTAATCATTAGTAGTACTTTATCTCTATTACAGATCTGTTGTAGGTTCTGTTATATCTTCTCAAGAATTGCCAGAACAAAATCTTCATCCTGGAACTCTGGGAACATTCTGGCCTTAGATAGGGATAGGGTAGGTGATAGAGCAAACAGACATGCAGTCTGGTGGCAGAAACAGTGCTTTTTACTTTAAGGCAAGATATGTATATGTATTTAGTTTTGCCCCTATCTGTATAGGTTCTCTGCCTCAGTTCTGCTTCTTGGTTTGGAGCATTTAGAAGTAAAATTTTGCTTATGTCCAGGATTCTTTACTTTCCTGTAGATATGCCTCTAAATCTTTCTGCCTCTTCCTCATGTGAATTTTTCATGCTGTTTTTCTTCAACCAGAGACCCTCAGTTAATCTGTTTCTGCTGCAAGACTTCTTCCTTTTTTTTTTTCTCTCACACTAGTATTTCTGGTGGCTTTTTTGAATAATTTGAAATCCATCACTTAGTTGTTCCCTTTTTCAGCTTCTGTGTAATTCCACTTTCTAAACGCTTGTAAGAAACACACTAGGACTGATTTGTGAGCTGCACCTCTTCCCTCCCTCCCTCATCCAAAGATGTTCTCCTTTTAATGGGAGTTACTAAAACTGTTGATCCTGTCTCCAATCTAACAGTCATTTTGTCTGTGTTCATGGAGACATGAAACTTCGTAATCTCAACTAAGACTTACTAGCTGTACATAAACAGTGAGAAGTGGTGTAAGTAGTGAGATTTTAGAGAGGAGAAAGAAATAATTCTGCACTTACTCAGACAACTGCTGTCAAAATCCAGAACTTCTTTACTGTTGGCCTCTTACAGTTCTACAAGGTATTCCCCACATTTACCTGAAATACAGTTCTGTTAATGTGTAGTTTTAGGATAACGATGAAAAATTTATTCATAAAGCACTCAAAATAATAGTACTATGGTACCATTAAATCGTTTGGATAGAAGTTCTCAGGCCAATCTGACTGGGGTGGGAGGATTCCAGGATACAGGCTACAACAAAAGGCAGTGGTGGAATCCTTCCTTCTCCAGTGTCTTGACTTGAGAGAATGGGGAACTGAGGAGAAGCAGAGTGAGCCAAGGTGGTGCAGAGCAATTCATAAAGACTCAGTGTCTACATCATGGTAAAATCACTGCCTAGTAATTTTGGTATGTTTTGAATTTGATGCCCGGTGTCTTATCTGTCACAGAGTCTTTGATTTTCTTCAGAAACCTGTTTTATAAACTAAATAATATACTAAAATATATTACTGTTTCTCCTAGTTGTCTCAAAGTGTAGCATGCACAGTTCCTAATATGAACTTCTAAATAAATGTTGTCACTTCTCGCAACGAAAATGCAGGTTATGGTTACAAAGGAGAAGAAAGAGGTGCTAGCAGAAGAAAGGATTAAGTCTTTGCCTGTATAGATAATAAGTATTTTTTCAGAGGATCTTCACTTTTTACGTGATTCTTTCATAGCATTACTTTTCATGTTCAGTGTATCCTTGATCTGTGGGTTTAGTACTTGCTTCCATGAAAAAAAGATCCGTACTTTTAACTACTGTTCCCTGATTTTTCGGTAATGCACAGCATTACAGCATATCTTAAAGAATTTAATCCTCAAATGCATAGTTTACGTAAGCTTTCTCTAACATGGGACTGTGCCAGCTCTTCAAATTAAAAACCTTTCTACAAAATTCTGTAAACGTTATATATTACAAAGAGGTATCAGCAGAATTAGTGTGACTTGAGGTAAAATGTTTCTGATTTTTCAATGGTAATGGTTCAGAGGCTATAGAGCAAACTTTCCACAAAACTAATGTTGCTTCATAACTAGGCCAGCATTCTAGAAAACTAAATGCAAGAAATATCCTTACTAGGATTTACATACCTTAATTAGCACATTTGGTAGATGGCAGAGGGAGATTGAATAGTGTTATTCCAGCTATTTTAAGTAATACTTGATTTAAATCACATTTCTAGTGAATTATTGTTAAGAGGTACTTCCTAAATAAGTACATTCATACTGTGCATTAGCATGTATACTTTTATTTTGTGATGGATTTAGTCAAGTGAGTTTTGCACAATTTACCACTCCGAGGATTTATTTTTTTTTTTTCCCCCGGGACTGTTAGATTGAAAACAACTTATAGTTGTGTTGGTTTTTTTTAACAGGATCTCTTGGACCCTGCTCGATGGAGAATGCTGATCCAACAGTTTAGATATGATAACTACAGACTACATCAGCTGGGAAACAATTCTGTTTTTACTATAACACTCCAGGCAGGCCTTTCAGCTATAAAAACACCGTATCCTTTAATGCAGATACTACTGTCGAGTGCAAAAAAGCATTGTGGTTTTTTTTTATTCTGTGGATGCTTTTCAGAGAGGTCAAAGAGGAAATGTGACACCTGAATGTTCTTGCTTATGAGTTGTTTAAAGGGGTTATGAATTGGTCTCCCTATTAAGGGGAGATTATAATAAATGGAATTATGGTTTTAAGAAGAAAAACAAGCCCAAACCAAATTTTTAAGGTGAAATCAACACTTTGTTTGCGTATTAGGCTATCTTTCCATGTGTCTCTAGTGAATATATCTGCAAAAGTTAGTGAGATGGGTAAGAATTATTTTTTTTTTTAAAGCACTTAGACAGATTTACCCTGTCTGGTTTTGTGAGTATTCAAATATATCCTGCATCTTTTGAAACGTAGTTGAATTTGCTGCACACTATGGTGTATCAGAGAAGAGCTGGTGCTACTAAAGTGTTCTACATCAGAAATTTTACCTTTAGAGGGTGCTGGACACTTGTTGCTCACTCTTGTTCCTTGAAATGTATATGTGCACATTAAAATTGTAGAATGTACAGGACCGTTTCATTCAACCTAGGTTATATTTTCAGTTTACTGTCTTGTTTTCCAATGTTTGTCATTAACTAATTGTTGTTGCATGCTGTGGTGGCTGTTCCTTAACTTGCTGTTAAACAGACAGTGTTATAAAGAGGATGGGAGCTCAAAAAACCCAGACTGCCCTGTGTGTAGCAAATCCCTGAACAAGCTGGCTCAGCCTCTGCCTATGGCACATTGTGCCAACTCCCGACTAGTCTGCAAGATTTCGGGGGATGTAATGAACGAAAATAATCCTCCTATGATGTTACCAAATGGATATGTCTATGGATACAATGTAAGTGTTGAAATCAATTACTTACTGAAGTCTAAAATAGCAGTGGTTATAATAACTTTATATATCAAAATATGAGCTTATGAACATAGTTAGAAAATTAGAAGTATCTTCTATATTAACAGAAGAAAGGTAACTTCTTGCAGTTATTTTAAAGGACTGTATATTTATGTGATTAAGCTGGTTTTTAAGCTGTTTGAACATACAAATTCATAACATGAAATCAAATGGCATTGGAAATCTTTCCCTTTGGACAGTGATAATGCAGAATAAGTAACTATGTGGGCAAAGATATTTTGACGTCAGACTGTAGTGTCATTTTTTTTAAATTAAAAATAATTAACTAATACTTTGAGTTACTATTGTGAATATTATCATTCGATTTCACTTTTTTTCAGTCTCTGCTTTCTATTCGTCAAGATGACAAAGTAATTTGCCCAAGAACCAAAGAAGTCTTCAACTTCTCACAAGCTGAGAAAGTCTACATCATGTAGGTCCATAAAACACATGATGAAGTGCCGCTGGAATTTTGACACAGTGTATATTGGCATACCCTGTAAAGGGGGGGGCCTTAATGTGTGGCAAAGAAGCAAAACCTGCCACCTTGGGGATCAGACCTGTCGGTGGCATTATTGTTTCTTGCGACCAAAGATCAATGAGCAACAAAAAAAAAAAAAAAAAAAAAGAGAGGAATTATGACTTAAGTTTGTACTTGAATAAAAACAAAAACAAATTTTGATTGTTAAGGTTTTGTAACATAAGGTCAAAAATTGGACTATTCTCAAAAGTACTTTCATCTTCTAAAGGATAACTTTCTTTAAAGATGGACACTTGCACTGGGGAGAAGTTAAAACAGATTTGAAATTAAATCCATTTTTCTTCCCTCTTTTTCACAATTGTCCAAGACCCTTTTGTTATCAAAGATTTCAGTACTACCAATATGTTCTCCTTTAAGCTCCTCTTTGCCTTCTTTATGATCCTCTTGTGAAGTAATCCTGAACACGAATTATATAACTTATTTCCATGGGAAGATATTGATGTCTTTTGACACAACACTGGCTTCTCTGGAGGATCAACTAGGGACTGGTTTGAAGGAGTATAAAGTCTTTTTCCAAACCCAAATATTTTAAGGAGGTTGCATAAGTATCAAGAGGAACTGAGAACATTTCAGGCACAATCCAATGCTTGTTTAAATGTTCTTTTTCCAGTCTACCATAGTGTTAAAGTCCTTCTAAAGTTATTAGTTATGTGCATAGGGTTCAATATGAAATCATTAGTGCTACTGCCTTATTTCTTGCTTTGAGAATGTACTCACATGAAAATGAGCTGGTATTCTTAAGTGTTGGGCGAAGTTTCTGAAGATGCCTTGCAGGATGATTACATAATTTTAGGGTCTAAATAGTATTCATTACTGAAACTAATAGTTCAATTTTAACAACTACAGAACACATCCTTATGACTTTTCAAAAGAATTAAACCATTGTAGTTTAAACAAAACCATATTGTAGAGGTTTGTATTTAGCGCTTATTTTTGCATGTTGATGTTGATTAGCTAATAAAAGATTGTAAATGTAAAACATGTTAATAAAAATTGTTTTCCATTTCTTGATTATATAAAATTAGAAAGTTGCTTTGTATTTAAATGTCAAAAAACTCTTTTGTAAGGGTGTCTCTTAGAGTGCTGCTTCCAAGTGTTGTGTTTTAGTGTTCTACAATCCCCACGAAACAAACAACTCCAGCTTCCTACACCACAACCCTAACTGTTGTTGTTCAGGCTTCAACATCACTGCATCTCAGTCAAATAACTATTTTTGGTTTACATTTTTCCATCTATGAATAGTACATTCCAATGTTGCTTCCTCGAAGACTGCCTCATGTCCTAGACACTTTCTGTTAATAAAATTTTGTGGGAGATGCTAGGTGTGAGGTTTTGATGCATGACTGAGTGCTTTAATGAATGCTAACAAAGAATAGCAGAAGGACCCCAACTTCTATTCATGTTCAACTCTTAGAGATCACAGATATATAAACAGATTGTATCAGCCACTCTGAAACTGTAAATACTGTGCTATTTACAGTGATGTATGTCTGTAAAGGTTCCATTTTCAGTAAGCATGGGTTACTGCTGCTTCTGAAGGGGTTTATCTGGAACACTCCAGAGCTGCTGCCTTGGCAGAGACCAGGGTTCCTGCACTCATGGCTCAAAGGGTCTGTTTCCCTCAGGTTTTTCTGTGTTAGATTTAGTGATTCCTTAGACCGAAAGCAATGTGCCAAGAGTAGGTGGAGGCAGATAATAAGAGAATGTGCATCAGTAACTGGAGTAATTGGCTCTCAGTTAAGCGGTAACTGATTTCTTCCTCATGGGGCGAAAGTTGAAGGATCATCAACTCAAAAGGGGAGAGGCCATCACCCTGGGGAGCAGCATTGCAGAAACCCAAATGAAACAGCATCTGTTTTCTTTGGCAGCCTATTCACAGCATCATAGCAGAAGGGCAAGGATAACTTTGAGAATGGCAACCTCACTTTACTTTACAGACATGCATAAAAGGCTAAAGCAGGGAGGAAGGGGTGGATTTGTTACCATCCCCAGGAAAGGCATGGCAACTGCATAACAATTGTAGGGTACTGAAATTGTTGCTTTTGCTTCTCTAAGTACTAGTTCCTGAGATTTCAGCCCTTTTTGCTTTCTGTGGCTTAAGCAGAGTGGTGGCAAAATCCATGTACCCAAAAAAAATGGTTTGGGAGGGGAGGAGAGCAGCTGGCCTACACCAGGAGTGCCTCATGTATAGGAAGTCCCTTCTGAGGGCTGGGTGGTGTGTTCTGAAGCAGGAGGAGCCCAGAGGAACCTCAGCAGTTTGTTAGCTGGGATTGCTCACTTCAGAAATCTGCAATCCAACAACCCATTTTGACTACAGTGAGACCACCTTGATACAGGCAGTTGTAGCCTCCTGGCTGACCCCTGTGGCTTGTGTCCAATACATCCACCTACAGACTGGCTTTCATTCTCAGCCTTGCTCTGGCATGGCTTTAGAAGCCTTCCAGCTTTTTGAGGGTTGGAAATGGTGGCAGGGACGGGTTGCTTTGGTGCAGCTTGGGAGTTCTGGTTTGCATTCCCCGACTGTTTTCTGCAGCCTTGAGCTCAGAGTCCAACAGAGGTGTCAGCGCGTAGCTTGTACCACAGGTGCCTTCAGACATTGAACCAAGAGCAGTATTTGGCTCATGGTAAGTGTAAACTTGTTGCCTGTCAGCACTGTTTTAATAACTCTTCTCTCGCTGCATTGATTTCTGCCTATGGATACACCAAGAAGAGGACTTGGGAAGTATGGTTTGTATAGTATGGGTGGAGGAGGCGGGGCAGGGTTATAGAAGCTTTCCTGAACAGTTGAAAGATTGGATAAGGATCTTCTTAAACCTTTTTTATTCTAGCAAAGTCTTGTATAGCAATTAGATTGTAAAATAGAGGATGGGGGATCAGTTGTACAACCTGACTGTAACCAGATGTGGAAGCTTCAACAAACACGGTCATAACCTGCTATATAGAAACCAAGCCTTGTGTGCCGATTGTACATCTGTTAGCAGCGATGCCTGGATTTCATTTTAATCAAAAAGTGACTGTTGGCTACCTTAGATGAGCTGCCTGGCCTTTTTTTTATGGATAACTTGCGTTATCCAAATGCCTGCCAAGGTGCTGAGGAGGCAGACAAAAAATGCATTTATTTCCTTAAGGGCACAATTTACTGCCCGTACAATGAAGGACATCCTTTTGAAACGGAAGAGGTTGATTAGTGAAGTGAAGACTTGTCTCCTCTCTGTATCTGGCTGAGCTGGAAACGGACAGTACCCTTTACCATGATGGTTTTTTCAGTCTTGCCAAGCAATTTAACAAAATGAGGCTCTGGATTTTGGTTATGGTGTTTGTTTGATGGCAACAGTTTGTCCCAGTTATGGTCAAGACAGGTTTCTTTGATTTCCACATTTACACAGAGGTTGAGAATTGCCTTAACCTTTCCTTCTATTTGTTGGTGTCCAGACCCCTCGTCTAAATGCTGAGATTCTCCAATATTGTGAAAGGAGAGAGTATTGATAATTGTTCATATATTGGTAACTGTTCATAATGCAGTGGTTTTCTTTGACACCTTTCAGCTTGAAGTATTCCACTATCTTCCAGGCTGTGAAGGGTTCAGGACACTGAGATCGCAACACTTTGTAGGTAGGAAGTAGTGAAGCTGATACCATGTTCAGGCAAAACATTTTGCAGGAGGCAAATTATAAGCATGTGCTTTCCTACTCATCAGTAAGATTACTTCTTAGAAAAAAAAAATATTATTTGGGAAAGGAAAAATGAGAAAACTATATACAGCTGGTAATCTGCCAAAAGGAAGCCTCTGAGCATTCTTAATAGACCACTGTTCAGAAAAAAAGTAATACTTCGTCTTTCTTTTTTTCTGCTTGGGGTAACCTGAGCAGGGTGTGTTGGCAGACGTACCAAGTGCTTGATCAGGGCGTTCTTTGAGACCCACGACTACACGATGATGACTTGTGTCTCCTGTAGCACGATGCAGAGGTCATGTAGTGTAACAAAATGAGTATTTAAATCTCGTCCATCCTGATTTTCTGTGTTCTGTAATGAGGTATCATATTCTGCTTAGCAAGTTGTTTCTTCCTGCTATGTCCTGAAGCCTGCAGCACTATTAACACTGTACCAGCAGCAGGCGAATCGGCCTCCTGGGCTTCCCTGTTTCAGTCCTGTACTCCTTAGGCCAGGGATTTTGGTGGTGTTCTCCAGCATAGTCCACCCTGAGGGCTATTTTTCAGGGTTTACCTGGCACTGAGCAATGATTTTTTTTTCTGTGGCGTGACTTTCTGGCATTGGGTACTAATAGTCTGCATCTTTAAAGGCAAAACCAGGCTTTAGTGACAACATGCTGTCCCAGCTGCCTAGCTCCATGCTTTCTGAATTAATGCACCAAATAAACCCCAGCCCAGATCAATAGGATAGTGATCAAATCCGATCTTTATCTAATCCTTGAACAGAAAAACTGCAAGTAGTTTCTTCTGGTCATTCAATGCTATAGTAGCTATTTGTTTCTATTTGATGGTGAGGGGCATCTGCAGGTTAGATAGTGAACACGATCTCCTTGCCATGGTGCTTTTCTTAAGATTGAGTGTCTAGCTGGTTCTGCAATATGTCTAACTCCCAGCTATACTGAAAGGCAGCTTTTTTATTGATGTGTTATAAATATTTGACCCTGTTAATGTAAGTTTTCTTGAAGTTTTCACCAGCTCACGTTTATCTTGGTTTTAGGAAGAGAGCTCGGATGGGCAGAGGTGGACAGCAGAATCTCTTCTTATCTCCTTACTAACATATCGTCTTCTTAGAGCCAGGTAGGTTCTGTAAGTAGAATGAGGTCTCTCTGGCGCACAGTCAGGGAAAGAAAATCTGCACTTCATGGTCAGCAAGAGGGAGCAGGAATCTATAGATCCCGATATGGTTGGATGAGAAGACTGCAGAGTTCTTTTGCTGTGATAGATATAGAGCCAACACAAAGTAGTTCTACTCTATAATTGACTTTTGTGAGAAGTTCAATGCCTATCTGAGCTAGTCATTGAAAAAAACCCTCATTTTAAGGGATCTAGTCCCAATTTGTTTGAACTGAAGTTCTAAGACTCTGTAAACGGAAGTTCTTCATTTCAAAAATAAAATTAGTCCTTATCATTGCTGGCTAGCTACAAGTTAATTTCACTGAGGAGCTCACAGTTTTGAATAAGATATTTTAGGCTCCACAATAAAATCCTGCTATTTGACTATGTTAAAGTTATCAGAGGTCTGTATCCTAAGGCAGAGGAAATCAGCTGTAGGATAATTAGCACTGAAAGAACAATAGGAAATAGCAGAACAACAAGAAATAGAAAAGGCTGCTGAACAAGAAAGGCTGTTTGTTTTGACTTAGTAAAAAAGAGAGCGAGTGTCAGGGTAGAGTTAAGAAATGCTCTCAGACAGCTATCTTTCAAAGAGATTAAAATAACTACAGAAGTTTTTAAAAGTGCAAGTAAGAGGAAAAAAAATTAACATATGAAACTACTGTATGGTAGATATCCAGACTTGATTACAAAACTACACCCAGCACCTTGCTGCTTGCTCCTAATAAAGATGGCAATGTTCAACGTTGGTGGGTGGGGTGGAGAGGGAGATGTACTGAGAAAAACAGAAATAACTTAGCAACGTGGCAGTGAAAAAAAAGCGGGCAAGTTACAGAAACCAAGCAATTGCTCTCCTGGAATTGTTAACTGGTCAGATCTAATGGAAAGGAGTTGTTCTAGCATCCAGCCTGGGGATGATATCACAGGAATGGAGAGCCTCTACTGTAGTCACTGTTTTTTAAGGGGAGGACAGAAAAATAATCAACCTGAAGGATAACTGTAAGTGAGCGTGAAGGGGAGATGTTTATTGAGGATAATTATGCCATACCACCCTGACGACTGATGTTGTTGAGTCTACTCAGACTAAATCCAGCTGCAGTGCAGTATCACATGCGATGACATTAGCTAATAATTGGAGAAGAGGGGGATTAGAAATTGCATGAGGATCTGGCCACAGGAGATGGGATAAAAGACAGTGTGAAGGGCAGGGTAACTGATGGTGTTCCTCGGGGATCTATTGTGGAGATGACTCTAGTTGTCATTACTGACATTCCACAATAAGCAGGAATGTGCTGATGTGGCAAAACCAGTAGATAGCCTCACCCCAGAGGATGCTGGAATATTACCAGGAAGAAAAACAGGTAACCTTGAAGAGTGGACTAACAAACAACTGAGATTGTTTTAGCACTAGAGTTCATTCAGCTGTCGACTGGAAAGAGTCCTCATTATACACCATGATCATGGAGGGCTTTGAGCCTCCAATGCGTTGTCTCTTGGAAACAGAGAAATGCAATCCTAACACGGTGCTGCCATTGGGATGAAGGAGTGAGGGCTACAAAGGGCCCTGGTGCTACTTTGCTGGAAGGTAGAGTACAGTCCTGCTTGCTCATGTCCATGTCCCTTACACTGAAGCTGGAGCAGAGGGAGCGCTGTGTTGGTCAGTGAAGTGGACCAGAAATCCCTTCCCAGCCCAGCTGGCTCAGGATAAGACATTTTCTTCATTCCCAAATTAATGTGGAAAACTGAGGCTTGTTAAGTGGGGAATAACACCCGAGAAGCTGGAACCTACATCTGTTCCTACTCCTTTGACCCCATTTCCTATCCCATAAGATTAACTTTTATGTTGTGCATTTCTCAAGGAAATAGTTTTATCTACCCCACAGAGCAGAGGAACAGATTTTCCCAGGGAGCTCATCTGAGTTCCCAGCCAGGACTTTTTTCCTGATGGAGCCAGAAGGAAGAATGAGGACCAAAAGATTATAAAGCCTATTCACTTCAGGACAAAAAGTTCATTAACTAACTTAAATATTTTGTTCCTCACCCATGGAGATTAAGCAGGATCATATAGACAAATTCCCCAAGAGGAAATAAACAGATAATGAAATCAGTAGACAATTTCCTTTTCCTTCTTTGCAAATCACAGCAAGACAAATCTCTCAGAAGAGGCAAGACCAGAGCTGTGGGAAGTTCTTCAGGGTGCACATGAGTACCTCATATGGAGCTGTCTCCTCTGTTTAAAGTAGCAGCTTAAGGGACTCAAACCACAGAAATATTTTATTAAAATGTGAAGAGGGTCAGGGGGAAATTGGTCTTAGCAAAGTTCAAGTTGCCCCGGATGCAGTCATTAAGGAAAACATTATATAGGGCTCTGCATTAATTCTTTGCAGGTAGGCTGTCATCCTGGCGTTGTGCTGCAATACCCAGCTGGACCCGGGCCACTCCCCCAGCCCTCTCCCCTGCTGGGTGAAAACCCCACAGGCCAGTTTTGAACCATCATCTGCTTGTTGCTGCCCCTCATTTTGGAAGGTGGGATGGTTCCTCAGTATAAGCTGTTTTGCTACATGGTGTGGGAGAAGAGGCTCTCCATAAGGAAGGAGAAGAGGATCTCCATATGGATTATGGCACAATTTTCAGTTTTAAACTGTGCACACTCAGGTCGCCAGTTCATTATCCCACTCATCTGTGCATAGGATATCATGGTCACCAGAAATTATTTGATCCTATTCGTGGCCATAAGAAGCATCAGTTTACAGGGCTGACTTCCACCATAGGAATAGGGAAGAATTCAGGCTGGGTGGTGAGGGTTTGCACTAGGAGCACACCACTGTGGGTGGCTGCTGGAGTGAGTGAAGAAGCAGCCCTGGCTTGTGCTGTGTCTCTGTCAGCTGCAGAGAGATACCTGAGCAGTATGATGATGTATATTAGAGAGAAAAAAGGTAATCTGCAGCTCTGATCAACTTTGTTTAGTGTAATATTCCTATTTCAGGAATATTACAACCTACTTCCTGAATCTTCTTCTGGAGTCAGCATGAGACTTGAGCAGAACTGGCTTGAAGTCTCCAGAGTCTGGAAATGGATCCTGCCCTCAAAGCATTTGCAACTTGACCATCCTCAGGGTACACAGGGTGTCTAGAGCAGCTCCACCACTAACCTGCATGTGTGGAAACTGAGACACAGCCAGCTCCAGGAACAACAACCCTGGAATGCGATGAATACCATCAAGTGTGTGATCTCATCTTGTTAGCTGATCAAACAGAGAAGAATAGATGGGAATTGATGTTGCTGATGCAAATCTGTTGGGGCTTTTTTTTGCAGGAACACTTTGTAAATGTTGATCTCAGATATACATACGCTCCGATGATCCAAGCTTTGTGGTATCTGTTTATCTTGAATTTTAGTGTCATATCCATTGCCAGCTCTCTAGCTTCAGTGATGCATTATCCCACTTCCAAAAACAGTGAATAAAAAGGGTGCTGTTTTTTACAGAAAAGATAATTATTCATTTTAACTACTAGGTATAGAAAAAGCATGGTAGCTACAGCTGAATTGCTGTGTTTTGCTCCTTCAGTGAATAACAGACCTTCTTTGATGTAACACCTATTGTATTTTAATTTTTATAATCTTTGGGAAGAATGTTACCTGCCCTGTTAAAGAGGCATAATATCATACCTTTGCCCAAAACATATTCCTTGTCTCTATGTTTGGAGCCATCCTCTGAGGAGGTAAAATAAAGAATTCCTCACTGAAGTAAGATTAACAGTTGCTGTATTCAGAAATACCTCTTATTCTAAACCAATTAGCAAAGTGAATGACTGGTTTCTTTGCATCAGGAAATCATAAGTGACATAGCCTGTGATCTCCATGTTTGAGGATGTGAGATGCTGGATTATATTTTGATCAAAATAAGGTATTTGTCTTAATTCTTTCCCTCCACACCTTGAATTTTCAGGAACAACATAAAAACAAATCAGAGTATTGGTACCATATTTCTCATCTTGGCTGAAGAAGCCAAGAAGAACCTTTGGGCCAATAGATCCTTCAGGTGTCTATTTAAAAATTATTATTGCAAAATAACATCTCCATCTAGGCTGTGGCAAGCTTAAAAATCATCATTATTTTCATTATTGAACCCCATAAGAAAATTCAAAACATCAAAATGTTCCAGCAGATAGAATAAAAATTATGGCCTGGTTCCACTTTGAAAGCAGCAAAACAGAGCTTTGCTCCTCCAGAAGGTCTCGTGTTCAACTGAAGGGATACTAAAATGCCTAGGCTAAAGCATAAAGTCTCGTAGAGCAACCGTTTCTTGAATGTTCTAAAACTCTGTGCAAATCCCATTAAGTATACCGCTATGGATCAATTTGTTAAAATCCCAAAGATTAAAAAACGCAACCTCACAACTTTACCTGCTCCAAGCATCCCGCCCTGCTGTGGACAGTTAGAGGGGCTGCTCTTATGGTTTCCACCATTGGAGGAACGTTCTTACAACCTTTATCTGTCCTTAGGTAATTGAGTCTTGAAATTGGAACATTCTTGGAAAATTACAGTAGTTGCTTTTAACTCAAGGACTCCTCAAAGTGCCGTAATATCTTTTCTCTTAAACTCTGTGGTTTAAACCTGGCTG